GGACATCAAGCAGGAACTATAGAGGAATGCTTACTATGGCTTGCTCAGCTTGCTTATACTTCCCAGAGGTTGGACAACCCTCAATGGAGTGAGCCATCCCACATCAGTTACTAATCAAGAAAATGCCCCCCCCAGACATGTGTTCTGGCCACTGTGGTGGAAACAATTTCTCAGTTGAGGCTTCCTTTTCCCTGGTGACTCTGTTCCGTATCTAGCTGACGAACGTAAGCAGAGCAAAAATTAAACAACTAGTCAATGTCTCCCCCACCCCCCAAAAAAATCTAAGCCCAGATGGATGCCTAGCTGAAGTCTACTGATGTTTCTCAAACTATTCCACAAAACATAAAGGAACTAATACTGCCACATTCATTTTTCATCCTAATTTTATACATAGTCCTAAACTGAAAAGGACCACAGAAAAAAGAAAAGAAAAAGGAAATTATAGGCCAATCTCCCCAACGAACATAGATGCACAAATTCTCATCAAAATATTTGTAAATCAAATTCAACTACACATCAAAAGCATCATTCACCATGATGAGTGGACTTAATCCCATGCAAGGATAGTTTAACATATAGAAATCAGTAAGTATAAGACATGTGAGGACGGAAATCACATGATCATCTTAACAGACACAGAAAAGGCCTTTGATAAAGTCCCTTGATAAATATCTCTTGACAGTGAAAGTCTTAAAGAAATTAGCAATAGAATAAACATCTGGCAACATAATAAATATTTTATAGACACAAACCCCTCTATAGCCAACTTTACACTAAACAACCAAAAGCATTTCCAGTAAAATCAAGAATGAGATATTAGTGTCCACTCTTTTCACACTCTTCCCCAATACAGTCCTTGAAGTCTTAGCTGGAGAAATGAACACACAAATAAATAAATAATAGGGGAAGAATATAAATGAAAAAGCAAGAGTGAAATTATCCTTAATTGTAGACAATAAATAAATAAATAAAGGACCCGAAGTTCTAATAGAAAATTCTTAGAACTGATGAATTCTTTCAGAAAATTAATGGGTTCCTACATGTCAATAGCCAACATGCTGCTGAGAAGCCAGGAACACATCCCCACTTAGAAGTGCTGTATAAATAAGAAATCTAGGAATAAAGCTAAACAAGGAACTGAGATATTACCTACAGTGAAAACAATTTAAGCTCTGAAGAAAGGAATTGAAGAATAAGATGAAAAGATGAGCAGAAGAACAAGGCCCACAGAATCAACTCAGCAGGGTTCCTAGGGGCTCAGAGAGACTGGAGTGGCCATCACAGAGCATGCCTGGGTCTGGGCTAGGTCCTCTGCCTATGTGTTGCAGTTGTTTAGCTTGGGGCTTTTGTGGGACTCCTAAAAGTGGGAGTAGGGGCTGTCTTTGACTCTCCTGCCTGCTCTGAGGGCTCCTTTCCTCCTACTGGGTTGCCTCATCCAGCCTTGATATGAGGGTTTATGCCCAGTCATATTGCAACTCGTTACGTCATGTTTGGCTGATATCCCTGTGAGGCCTGCTCTTTTTCTGAAGGGAGGATTGGGGATAAGGGGAGGGTGGAGGGTACTAGGAAGAATGGAAGGAGGGCAAACTGTGGCCAGGAAGAAATATATGAAAGAAGAATAAAAAAATTCTAAGAAAAAAAAAGGTGGAAAAATCCCTAATGTTCATGGATTAGCAGGATTAATATTATCAAATTAGATATATTATTAAAAGTGATCTACAGATTCATCAAAATCTCCATTAAAATATCAATGACAATTTTCACAGACATAGATAAAAACATAGTAAAGGTCATACAAAGCACGTATGACCCCAGGCGGTCAATGATCCTCAGCAAAAAGAACAATATTAGAAGCAGCAGAGGTAGCAAAAGCCCTGATTAAAGTGTACTGCAAAACTATTGTAACAAAAGTAGTACAGCAACGCCTCAAAAACAAAAACAAAAACATGTAGATCAGGAGACTAGAACAGAGGACCTAGCTTCTTTTCCTATGGCCCTCATAAGATATTCTCATGAAAGAATGTTAAGGGAAAAAGGTTTATTTTAGTTCCCAGTTCAAGGTATCATGGTGGGTAGCTCGGGGAAGCAGAATCTTGACACAGCTGGTCACCTTCCAAAGGAGACAGCACTGAATGTTACTCTAGTGCTCAACATCCTGACTCCATCATACAAGCTCCTCCCCCCCCAGGACACGTTCCGTCTCTCCCCAACAGGCAAGTCCAGAGACCCACCCCCAGGGGATTCTAAAGTCTGTCAAGTTGACAGTTAATACAAACAAAACTCCCACTAGTAAACACACAGCTACAGCTACCTGACTTTTGCCTAAATACACACTGCAGAAGACAACCTCTTTAGTAAACGATTCTGAGAGAATTGAATGTCCTTAAATGAAAGAATGAAGCTGCATGCCTCTCCCTCACTCTGTGCGAAAGTCACCCCAAAAAACCCAAAGGCCTGAAACTCTGAGACGGTTAGAAGAAAACAAGGAAACACTCTACGACACAGATATCATATTTCTGAAAAGGACACCAATTGAAAAGGACATCAAAATTTTACTAAGAAAATAAGATTTCACTCAATTACAAAATTTCTGTAATTTTTCACAGAAAAAGTTCTGTGAAAAAGCCTACAGATTGGGAGAATATCTTTGCTAGCTATACATTTGACAGAAAGTTAATATCTAGAATACATATAGAATTCAAAACTATGAAAAACACAATAGATAAATGGGCTAATGAATAGTTCACTTTCAAAAGAGGAATTATAAAATGGCCAATAAACATAAAAACATTCATGCAAATTAAAATCACTTTGAGATTCCATCTCATCCCAGGCATAAAAACCATCCCTCCCCTCAAAAAAAGAATTACTATGCAAATTTTTGGAGCTCAGTGTTTAAGAGTACTGACTGATTGTTCTTGCAGAGGACCTGGGTTCAATTCCTACAGTGTAGATCACAACTGTCTTTAATTCCAGTTCCAGAGGACCCAACACCCATGGCAAAACACCAATGTACATAAAATAAAAGTATGTAAATTTATAAAAAAGAAATCATTTAAGGTGGGGTTTACTGGTGAATGCCTTTAATCCCCAGTACTCAAGGACAGAGGCAGGAGGATCTCTGTGAGTTCAAGGCTAGCTTAGTTTACATAGAGAGATTCAGGACAGCCAAGACCAAAAAACGGTCCATGTCTAAAATAGAAACAGTCGAAAAACAATAGCTTGGATGATGTGAGAGAAAGCAGACCCTTACATGGAGCTTGTGGGACTACAAGCTCGGCTAGCCACTATGGCAATTAGCATGGTGTTCCTCAACAATTTAGAAATAGGATATAATTAGCTATACAACTTCTGGACACAGAGTCAAAGACTCTAAGTAAACACACTACACAGATGCCTGCACATACCTCCTTATTGCAGCACTAGTCACAATAACCACATCACAGAACCAACCACGATGTCTCTCAGTGGACAAATAAACAAAGAAAATACTGTGTGTGTACACAATGGAGTTTTATTTAGTCATACGAAAGAATGAAATTATCTTATTTGTTAGAAAATGAATAATCACACTGGAGGTTATCATATTAAGGAAAACAAGACAGAGACAGTAAAACAAATACTCGGTTTTCCCTTATTCATAGGTCCTAGAATTCTTTATAGATGCATAGAACCATATACATAACAGGAAAGCAGAAGGAAAGCCACTGGAAGGAGTAAATGAGGAGGAGAACTAAGGAGGAAGATGAACATGGTAAAAAAAAAACATGAAATATTTGAAAGAGACTTTATGAATACTTGAGTAACAAATACATGCCAATTTAAAAAGAAGAGGAGGAAGGGAAGGAGGAGAAAACACAAAATGACCCAACAGGTAAAGGACACTGTTGTACAAGTCTGGTAACCCGAATTTGATCTGCAGAGCCCACCTAAAGGTGGATGGAAGGAGGGAATAAACTCTACAAAGTTCTCTTCTGACGTGCATGTGCACATCTTGGCATGTACTCCAACTCATACCATGCAAATGCATGCACGCAGAGCGGCACACACAGAAGTAATATCTTTTTTCTGTGTGTGTGTGTGTGTGTGTGTGTGTGTGTGATGTACACATGTTTACATGTATATGGTGTGTGGAGGCCTGACACTGATGCCAGGAATTGTCTTCAACCACTCTTCCACTTTATTGCCTTGGGTAACACCTGTCAATCACTCCCGAGCTGCTAGAAATGACTAGTCTCACTAAGCAGCTTGCTCGGGGATCTTTTGTCGCTGCCTTCCGAGGCTGGAAATACAGGCAGGCCACCATTCAGCAGTTACATGAGCTTCAGGGACATGAATTCCATTCAGAACTCATACTTGTACGACTCAAGCTTAACCACTGAGATATCTCCTCAGAGTCCAAAATAATAAGCTTCTAAAATTAAAAACTGAAGTCAGACATGGATTTCGTTTCCAGATATGCAAGTTTAAGACCATGTTTATTATGTACTTACGTCCTGAATTCTAATTACCTTATCTCTGAGATTCAGTTGCCTTGTACATGAAAATGACAGCCTTCAATAGGATGGGCATGCATTTGTCCAAGCTGTTTGTGCGAAGATGAAATGAAATATAAATACAAAAGACCTCATCCACTCGAGCTGTATCACCACACGTCACTCACGGCTGGAGACCAAATTCCAAGTTCCAGCCAAAAAGAACCATATCTTCATAGGCCACACATGTCACTGCCGCGCCATTCGGTGCTCGCAAAATGCCACCTGCATTAGTCAGATGCAAAAGGGAGGACTGCTTCCCATGGCGGGCACCCCGCCCAGTCTGGTGAGTGTCCCAGCAGGCCCAGGACACAAGTCGGTCCAGGAAGGAACACAGGTTCTTAACACTTACAGCTCTGCAGAGCACCTTGGAAATGGCTCCCGGCCCAGAAAAGTTCAGGAAATACTGCTGGCCTTTTGTATTAGCATTGCCGTCCTCAGACAAACACATCCACCTTTGCTTACCCGGAAGTAGTCGCTGCAGGCCGCGAGGACTGCCTTGTGAGCGTGGAATTTCTGTTCCTCGGCTATCAGGGTCACGTCACAGAGAATGCCATCACTTCTTTGCTGATTCAGTGCTGCGAGGACGGTGTCATTGTGAGATTCTGAGTGGCACAGCCTCTGGCCCGTCAGCATCTCTTGAATGCTACGAAGAGAGCAAGGAAGCCTCGTTTATTCCCTTCACCAGTCCTGCTTCCTAGGGGCTCTTTTACCCTTTCGACCTTGGGGACAGTGCTGGAACTCCAGCGCAGCTGTGAGTTTGACCTTCCTGTTCTCCGTTTTCTGTTCTCTGTTTTGCCCTCTATGCTTTTGTCTGTCTATTTTCCTTTTCTCTGACTCCCCCCTCCCCTCGTCCTCAGACCTTTTTCTATTGTTAGCTCTCCTGTTCTGAGGTTAAACTTCTTGAGTGTCGACCTGAGTCTGTGGACTTATGAGCCAGCTTCTAATCCCCTATTTCGTCGGTGTGTTTACATTCAAAACTTGCCTTAAGTAAGTCTGCAGGTGAACATATTCCCCCCCACCCCGTGTGTGTGTGTTTATGTGTGTGTGTGTCTATGTCTCTGTGTGTGTGTGTGTGTGTGTAGGCAGGGAGACTCTTCATACTCTATGACTCCCTCTCTAACTCCATCCTTCTCCAGCTTCAGACTTACCACGTGTCTCTCTAGGATACAAGGGCCCCAGTAAATATAAGAAAACTGAGCAAATGTTGGTTGGGGACAAAGGAGCTGTACTTGGCCATCCCAGATACACGGCAGTCAAGCCACAACTGCCTGTGAAACCTGGGGGATTATACACCACACTAGGAATGTTGAAAGAAATTAATTTACAATAAGAGGGGTGTGGTTATATAAGCTTATAATTCCAGAACTCAGGAAGCACTGAGGCAAGAGGATCTGAAGATCAAGGCCATCTTTGGCTATATAATAAGTTAGAGGCCAACCTGAGCTACATGAGACCTATTTCCATGATAAAAAAAAGTGTCCTTTGTAAATTAAAAGGAAAATTAAAAGTTAAAAGCTTAGATCATCAAAAATCTCTCCGCATGACTCTAAAATCCCCAAACAGGTACTGGGCTCTGACTAGAGAGCCGTGTCACCACTGAATTACCCCCAGAGGGTGACAAGGGTGTCAAGTCCTGTTTCCAGACAGTGGCTGGCTTCTTTTGAAAGCTGTGTGAAAAATACCCCAGGACAGCTGAACGTGATGGCTCCATACCTGACCATTCTATCCCCAGCTCCAGCAAGAAAAAAATGTTATTCAGAGAAAACAACATTGCTATCAGCCTGGCCCATACTGTTGGGTTATTTAATGGGACGCTGCCTCGCTTGCGCCAATTGACTGGTAAATTATAGTTAAACCTAAAATTGACCAACTTCTTCCTGTGAGAAGCCAGTGTAGTCGGTAAGCTTTAGCGAACGTTTCCCACGGGAAGCATCAGAAATGTAAGAACTACGGAGAGAAACTGACTTGACAGAGAGTGAGGCTATAGGAGGCTCTTGTAGGAGGGTGGGAGGATTATTTTCAGTCGACAGTGGCAGCTGAATCTGAAACTCTCACAGCCTCTGAATATTCATGTGTGGCTCCCGAGATCGGTAGGCTTTTAAAACCAGTAGCTAAAAGTCACATTCGGAAATATAAATAGGTTTTTAAGGAAATTTCTATGTAAAGCCTAGCATGGAGATTAATTAATGTCATTAAGTAAAAGAAGTGGGGAAAAGAAACAGAAATACTGTATCAGCAAGTAGAACAATAGGATAGACTGGAAAATTTTCATAAAACGATGACATTTTTATAACTAGCAAACCTGTATTGCTTACAGTTTTTAGCCAATTATCCTGCATGATTTATAATTATTAATTATAATTAACAAATCAATCTTCCTAGTAATTCTAAGAGAAGGTACTATTGACACGTCTGTTTTATAGATCAGAATACCAAAATTCCAAGGTTATAAATTTTAAAAACCTGAGATTAAGAACACAATGATTTTTTCCTGTTTTTAAAAAAAGATAATGTATTTGAAAGGTCTCAAAAATTATGCCTAAGATAAAAAAAATTTCAAAATCCCCTATTAATTTTATGTCAGACATAATTAACCTCAAAATCAACCCTTTAGAATAATATATGAAAACAAAATGGCATACAATAATCATAAAACTATGTAATCATGCTTCAAGACCATTTTTGTACATCCAAGGACTGAAGTTTTGAAGCAGGAAATGGATTTCTAAAGTTATAACTTTAGAAACTGTATTTGAAACTTTTATAATTTCCTTCCTCCTCTTTTATGTCACCATAAATGTATTTTGAAATTTCATTTGTAGTGAAACAAGACTATATTAAAATAATTGCCTGAAGACATTTCCCTGCTTGTAAATCTAGCACATGATCGCCGTCATTATGGAGACTGCATCAGTCTTTGCACTTAGGTATCTGTTGCAAGTGAGTCGATGTTGGCAGGGAAAGAGCAGCTGGGAGCGGCAGTTTGGCAGAGACTGGAGGGTTGAGCTTTAAAACAATAGTGATAACTCCTTGGCTCCACAGACGCAATAACTCAGCTTTGAACAGTCGGGCTTTAGAAACACCATAAGCTGATATTTAAGACAACACTTGGCAGAGGACCCTAAATATTTTAGAACCAATATGTTATGAGTGCTTAAAAGCCAGAAATAAATACTCTGAGATTTGGCAAGAAAGAAAGGCCCACGAATCAACAAGTACCAACAAGTCATCGCTGTATTCTCAGAGCAGCTTCTCACTCGTCTCTCTAACAGAAAACTGCAGAAGACCTCGCCTCTGTAAATGTGACGTCACGGCTGCCCACAGCACAGAAGACACCAGGCTCACTACACCTGGGTATTGATCATACACTGGGAGCACCAGGAATCACAGGCTGCAGTGCGCCACGCTGAGATTAAGGTATGGAGCAGATGGAGACTTGTCATTAGCTCCCTCTGCCCTTACAACAAATGTCAAGTCAGCAAACTCACCTCCCAGGTCAGAGCCGTGTCCTTTCACTACTGGGGAATGAAGAAACAAGAAAAGGAAAAGAACTGTTTCAAAATCTTTCCAAAGTCCTGGGAAAATACGTGATCAAGGCTCTACGTTTCTCAGGGGGATACAGACTTGGGAAACTTCTTAAAATTGGGGAGATTCTTCCATGAAAGAAATGGCACCCCTCAAAATTTACAACTAGTACAGAAAGTGCTCTGGGGCCCCCAGTGCAACACCAGTCTCCTTTTTCTCTGAGACCCAAGAGCTGCATTACCAAAACAGGAGCCACTGCATCGCCAAAACAGGAGCCACTGCGTTGCCAAAACAGGATATAAACACTCTCTATAGGCTAGCACAAGGTGAGGTGTGCTGTTAGTGTAGAACAATATTAGATGTAAAAAACGATAAGAAAAAAAGACCCAAATGTCTCATTAATACTTCTATATAGAGCACATATTTAAATTATGATTTGTGACAGTGATTTATATGAAATACAGCACTAAGGTTAACCAGAGCTGTTTCTTTGTTCCTTATTTTAAAATTAATCTATTTCAAATGACACATGTTTCCTGTTGTGAGCCCCTTTACAGGTTCACAGTTCACAGGAGCACTATATGGGTGCCAGGTGACTCCAGCCAGGCTGCCAGGCTGGACACTATTCTTGTATCTCAGAGGGCTGACCCAGGTCCCTGGCATGACAGGAGGAAACACAGACTCTCTCAGCAGCAATTGATTTCTAGCAATGACAGAGAGTGAGCATTAGACCGGTCACATGCCAGCATCTAATAATGGGGAGACTGATGCATGCAGTCTCAGGGAATAGGACTCATCGTGACTCTGAGCCTGCAATTTTCATTCTGGAACTGATGACAAAAACTAAGAAATCAAATGCAGAGCACGTTTCTAACCTGCTCATTCTGAATCCCTGCTTCTGTGCAAATGGCTCCTTTGAGTGCACAGAGTTAACGCGTTGATCACAGAAACCCCCAGGGTCTCATTTTCATACAGTCATTTAACTGAATTCAGGCAGTTTTTCAAGATGTAATAAAACAATTCTACAGTTTTATGTTTTACTTTTCAAATTTAAAAATTTGGTGGATTTTTTTTTAATGGCTACTTAACAAGGTCAAAATAGTCTTAAACATTAATAGGAAAAGAATGTTATTTATTTACATGGACAGGTTGTTAAAAGATCCCATAATGGGGTTTTTCTTATTTTTATGTAACACTTTACAAATTTTCTAAAGTGTATGCCAAAAATGAAAATAGTCATAATGATAAGCCAAGATTAAACCTTATAGAGCAATTAAGAAATACTAAGATTTAAAGAAAGGAGCTTAGCTATAAATGAATAGATTTCTATACCCCTTCCCTCACTCGTATATAAGACAAACATCTATTCAGCCTTATTATTCTAGATGCTGGAGATTAAATACTAAATAAATGAAATGTAGCAGCAGTCATCACCAAATAGTCAGTCTCTCAGGACAGTCAGTGGTACAGTGACTCACAACCTTTGAATGCAGCAACTCTTTAATGTAGCTCTGTGGTGACTCCAACACAAAATTACTAATGTTTCTATGTCATACCTGTAATTGTATTACTGTGATGAGTTGTAATGTAAATATCTGTGTTTTCAGATGGTCTTAAGTGACCCCTGAGTAGAGGTCATTTGTCTCCCAAAAGGGTCACGGCCCACAGATTGAGAAACCTTGCACCAAGTAATTTCACCTTCCCAAAGAAGAAAAATCCAAGATTCAAACTGAAGATGGATGAGTTACCACCCTGATACAAAGAAGATAAAGTATCTGCTGGAAAAGAGAACAACAAATGTTGGCCTGTGTCAGCAGGGAGTATGGCCCCGACACACAATAGTTGAGGGCTGTCTGAACCCTGGTCTGAAACTCCAAGATAATGTTTCAGAGAGGAGGACACATTTGAAAGCTACTGGTGTGGGGAGTTAGGAGGTGTGGTGATACATTAGATAAAGTAATGGATGGGAAAAGAGTTTTCATGAACATGCTCATTTTCTGGTTTATAAAATTCAATATTCCAATAGCAGGGTACCTGGAAAAGAAGAAAATGATGAACTCTGAAGTGTTAATCTAATTAATCTTATCAATAAAAAGTGTGGGACATGTTAACTTTGAGTGATCTTAAAGATGTCAAATACACAGAGTGATTCATAGCTCTGGAGCCCAGTCTCGACTAAGAAGAGAAATCTATGATTCATGTTCTCAGAGCGGCCAAGAGAGCACAGTTGTCTCATGAACACACTTGAGGTACAACCAATAAAACATGTTCAGAAAGAAAAAGTGATTTAAAGCACAGAAGCCAGACATGGCTTGGTTTGCCTCTTGAGTGGCAGGAAATAGGAACATCAGAAACTTGTAGAACTCTAGGACATTTTGGGCTTATTCAATGTAAATATTTCTGTGAACTGTCACTGGGCAACAGATTATTCCGTTCATCAAATGAGGGCTTTCTTAGGCAAATGCCCTACACACACATACACAACACCAACCAAACAAACAAAAACAAAGAATGGAAGAAATTAAGGGTTGGGCAGAAGTTACAGAATCTAAGCCGATCAAGAAGGGAACAAAACGATAAGATGAGTTTACTAGCTCATAAATCAATGCTTTGCTCAGCCATCATCAGAGAAGCCTCCTCCTGCTTAGATGGAAACAATGGAGACTCACTCACAGCCAGACAATATGCATGTAAAGTGAGAGAGCTTGGAGCACTCACATCTTGCTGCGGGAGTACCTCCCGCTAGTCGCTGAAGCACGAGCCCACAGTGCTGCGGAGCGCCTTCCGCTCTGTCAGCCAATAGCTGCTGAAATACCAGCCCACTGGGGCGTGGTATATTTCTCTTTAAAAGAAGAGCGGTAAGCTCAGCTTGGCCTCTTGGTTCAGGCGCTTGGTTCCGGCTCCTGCTTCCGGCTCCTGCTCCAGCGACTAGGCTCCCTTCCTGATGGTTTATTGTGTATGTAAGTTTTACCCCCCCCCCCCCCGATAAATAACCCCTTAAAACATAACTGGTGTGGGATTGATTCGCCATTAACATCTAAATGGTGTGTCTCTGGCAAATCCTTCTCTTCAGAGCTCAGGGAACTGTACAGAAGAGACGGTGGGAAAGACTGTGAGTGTTGGAGGGCATGGAGGACATCAAGGAAACAAGGAAATGTAAACACAACAGGGCCAACGCAGATACTAATACACTTAGAGACTGAGGCAACATGCACAGGGCCTGCACGAATCTGTGCCAGATGGGTCCCCAGTGCTGAGAGGAGAAGTGGACACAGTCCTGAGCCTTAACTCAGAAGCTATCTTCAATTGATAACCATTTGCAAATGAAAAATTCGTTTTCTCTAACAGAGTCTCTCTGGGAATACAAACCACTCTTATGGTCAGGCCCCATGCTCAACAATTGATGGTCAACACAGAAGGAACTCAATGACATCTATGGAGAGTTTTTTTTTTGTCTCATAATACTTTCTTTTTAATTTTATAGGTCCTTTGTGTATATATTGTGGCTTCTGGTTTTGTGTTTTTATGAAATGTCTGTGTGTATAAACATCTGTGTGTCTGCATCTATGAATTTCTTATGCTGTTCTTTTTCTTCTGTTTTTATTTGCTTGTCTTGTTTTGTCCTATTCTGATTTGTTTTTATTTTGTTTTATTAATATTCCTTAGATGCCTGTTTGTTTTCTAATGAGAAGTGGGGGGATTTTGGAGGAATTGGGGAAGGGGAAAATATAGTCAGAATACATTGCCTAAAAAAACTATTTCAATAAAATAAACAGTAAAAGAATAAGGAAGAGGGGAGAGGAGGACTGGGAAAAGGAAATAGACAGCTGGTAGAAGTGGAAAGTTGTGCAGCTAGTAGATGAGACACAGCAGAGGTCAAATAACAGCCCTAGTTAAATAGGTTAAACCTTCAAGATAGAAATGAAGTAAGAGTAAAGCTAATAGGTGATTTCAGAAATGAAGTGACCACTGGGGATAACAAATTCCATGCTGTGGCTGTGTCAATAGGTGGCTTAATGGAAGGAAGAGCTCTGGACCAGAGCAAGCAAAGGTTCCAAGGGTCATGAAGCTGGGCAGATCTTCCATAAGTGATGGAAGAGCAAGAGAAGTGGAAACAGGGATCTGGGTGGGAGCAGGGAAGGAGATGGCTGTGTCATGGAAGACATGGCAGTAGCGTGGTAACTGGCTAACCTAAATGGCTGATTTAGGGTAAGAAACCCCTTTGAGAACACACACATTGACTCTGATATCAAGGAGCAAATTATTTGTCTGAGGTGGTGCCATATAAACACCACAGTCCTCATGCATTGTATTGGTTGGGCATCAGATCTAACACAGGGCATTGGGGCCATGGTATTAACTGCTTTCTGAGTGTGATGGTTTGAAAGAAAATGGCCCCAAAGGGGAGTAGCACTACTAGGAGGTGTGGCCTTATTGGAGGAAGTGTGTCACTGTGGGGGTGGGCTTTGAGGTCTCTTTTGCTCAAGCTTCCCTCTATGTGACAGACAGCTTCCTATTGCCTATAAGATGTAGCACTCTCAGCTCCAGCACCATGCATGCTTGCATACTGCTATGCTCCCCACCATGATGATAATGAACTGAACCTATGAAACTGTAAACAAATCACAGCAATTAAATGTTTTCCTTATAAGTGTTGCCTTGACCATGGTGTCTCTTTGCAGCAATAAAAACCTTAACTAAAACACTAAGACAGTTTTGGTTTTTTGCTCTGAGACTCTCTAAACACTAATTGTATTCCTATCCCTGAAGATAAGAAATACTGCTAGTCCTTGAACAACATACCTTAATCTTCTATGTTTATTGACCTCTACTTTTTTCAATTTAATATATTTATTTATTTTATATCCCAACCACAGGTCCCTCCTCCTTCTCCTTCTACTCCTCCCCCTCCCCTGTCCTCACCCCTCAGTCTACCCCCTTCAGTATTCATTTAGAAAGGGACAGGCCTCCCATGGGCATCAGCAAAACTTGGCATATCAATCTGCCATAAGATCAAGCACCTCCCCCTGTATGCAGACTGGGCTAGGAAATAAGCATGAACAATAGGTTCCCACGAGCCAGGCAAAGCACCAGGGACAGCCCCTGCTCCCATTGCCAAAAGTTCCAAAAAAAGACCCAGCTACGCAACTGTCACACATATGCAGAGGGCCTAGGCTCACTGGTTGTTGGTTCGGACTCTGTGAGTTCCCATGAGCCAGGCTAGTGGCTGTGGGTTTTCCTGTGATGTCCCTGACTCCACTGGTTCCTACTATCCTTCTTCCCTCACTTCAGGAGGACTCCCCAAGCTCAGCTCAACATTTGGACTTGGGTTTCTGACTCAGTCTCCAACAGACACTGGAGGAAGGTTCTTTGATGACAACCGGAGGAGGAGGGGTGGTCTCCAATCCAATTATAGGGGATGGCCAATTCAGACTATGCATTGATGCTGCAGCGAGTCTTCGCTGTGGTCATCCTTGTTTTCCCTGCATTAGATTTCTGCATGACTTGGGGAAGTTCTGCTTCCCAGGCATCTCTTACAGTGCTCTCTCCCTCCATCTACCCCCAACCTGATCCCTCAAGATCCCACGCCCACCTGCACTCAGTTCACCCAGCAGACTCCTGCATTTATGCTTCTCAGGGAGATCCCTCTTGAGCCCTCCTCGTTACCCAGTTTTTTGTGGTCTGTGGATTGCAGCATGCTTATCCTTTACTTTACAGCTAATATCCACTTATGGATGACTATATATCCTGTCCCTCTCTTAAGCTTTCTTCTGAAGAGCTTTTGATGGCTTCCTCGGAAACTGATGATGACTTGCCTTCAGGCAGATTGAATGCCACAGGCTTGCTCCCTGTCTGTCTGTCAGATTTTTAGAATACAAAGCTCCTCCTCTCTTAGTGCATTTCCAAGATCACTCCATCCTTTGGCTCTCAGGGATATACTTCTTTCCCACATTTACACTGCACTTTTCCAACAGAGCATTTTTTACAATGGCATTTGCATTGTTGGTTGTGTAGCTATTTATTTCACATCTGGTTCTCCCATAGAATACACAGTTTATGGTGGAATACAGAAAATTTTATATTATTCATAACTGGTACTTTACATCAACATGAGTACTTGGCTCAACACATATTTATTAACTAAATGAATATTCAAACAAGATATTATCAGGAATTTTTGAATCCTCTCTAAACTTATTGCATTAAAGGGAACAATATTCAAATGCATGCATAGTTTTCTCAAACATGTTATTATATACCTTTATAGTGATATGCCTTTTGCTCAGAGGGTTCACATCCCAAATAAGAAAAAGACAAGAAACACTATTAAAGAATCATGACACTTCTCTAGGTTTGAACAAGTGGCCTCAGTAGTTCATCCTTTTTCCAACTGTCCAAATCACAGGAATTTTGACTGCTTGGCTTACTCAGCTGAATTGCATTCTGCTCCTGCTCTGTGCTGCTGTGTGACTAGTTTAAGCCTCACTATACTGAGCAAGGGCATTCTCCTTCAGTGTGTACCTGAGGCAGCGTTCCGACGGCATTCTCCAGCTGGTTCCTCGCAGTCAGGCTTACAAGTGTTCCGGTGAATCAGCGAGCATTCCAACTGGGTTAAAAAAGGATAAGAAGGAAAACTAAAGTGAGCCAAACGCAAAGAGCATTTTAGGAGTTCACGATGCTGATGCTTCAGAACACCAAGAAGAGGCCTAGAGAACCTGAATGCTGACACTTCCCACCCTCTCACCATCTTCCCACCCTCTCACCACCTTCCCACCCTCTCACCATCAAAGCACCCTCTTGATGGCTTTCAACTTTCAGGCTTTTTACATTATCAGAGACTCAAGCATAGGAAGGGCCATATGTCTGAGACTCGATCATAGCTGACTAAGGATTGAGAGGAAAAACACCACAAGGCCACTGGGAACAATGAAGATCTTATGAAATACAACTACAGTGGTCTGAATTATAGATACCTGTCTGTGGAAATTGAGGTTTCCTTCCAAACATGACTGGTGAAATCAAATTTAAACCTAGCACCTGCCGAGTAAGTATACACAGAAAGATACGTTTCCACTCGAGGAGCTGGCTTCGGAAAACTCACGAAAGAGCAGCTCACGGAGAGGGTGGGTGTGAGGACCGAATGCAAGCGGTTCTCACAGCAGCTTCAGGATTAGCGTGTGAGAGCAGGTGTAGCTGCCAGGCTTGGAGCTCCTTGGCTGTGCACACTTCTCCTCCATCCCGGCTGCCCACCCTCGCCTTTGTACTTAATCAGTGATGTAACTCCAAACAGAAAAAATAAATTATTTGAACAGTCTGGGACCTGGTCCATGACTGCATTTTACAGCGCTCATTAGAGAGCCTCGCTCACATTTTGTAATACACCCAAGTGGCAAAATTAATTATAATCTGAATAAGTTAAATAGGCTTCCTTCTGTTTCAATTTTATTTTGAAAAGCAGCAGTAATAGAGTGAAAAATGCTTATGAAAGAGATGTATTAAACTGCGCCTATTTCTTCTGGCTTGTATAATAAAATATTTGTAACCCGACTACAATACAGCATTTATTAGTTATAAAGAAACCTGCAATTGGTATGACTTTGAAATGCTTAATGCAATATATTGTGTGCTTAAGTATTCCACTGTTACTGTGTATGAGTTGTTTCAACCATTTATTTCATACAATTGACCTTTCAGTCCTTTTGTTTTTAATTATTATTAATAGGATATTCCTTCACTTGTTTCTAGTCAACATTCTGACAAAAACTAAAGTGAACATCATTCTCACTTGCTCCATCATGGGTGAGCGGCACAGACGGTCAGAATAATTCTAGGCACATGGCTTAATTAGCTGAGAGACTTGCTTAGCAACCTATTATTGCTGCAGCTCCCCCTTAGAATGCGGGTTATAAGCTCTGTGGTGTGATAGCAAGCACAAACATGGATAAACACTTGAGTTTTGAAATGGAAAAGATTATTTATTAGAGGTGGGCAAAGAAATCCTAATCTTTTGAAAATTCTATATTTTTCAAAATGCTTCTAGTGATACAGTAAATGGAGAAAATAATTTTAAATATTAGAATAATTTGCCATTAAAGGATATATCTAATTTGATACATTTTAAACAGTCATGGGAAAATCATAAAATGAATTCAGTTCCCTGCTAGACATACTCATTGTTTTTAAGTCAATACAATAAACTAGTTCTTCTCCAAAATTATCTAAATATTATCACCTACATTCTACATCATTTAGTTAAATGAACAAAACATTTAATGTGAGTCAAAATGAGTTAAAGATGTATCACCACAAAAAAAGCTTTCTTACTATTTTCAATTAATATTATTTTTCTATATATATTATTTTCTACTTGCTATATATAATATACTGGTATAAAGTAAGATCTCTTGGCAAACACATTTGTTTTATGGACAGTTTCACAGACAGGATGGTGAGCAGGAGGTGACATGACCTTCCACAGCTTCTTTCTGCTTTTCCCCTGCTTGGAGCCTGGATTCCTTCTTAATCTGTGGCTCTTAACTTCCCCATGAGCTCCAGAGACCTTGCTCAGTCTCTTGTCTTCTTCCTCTTCAGAAACCTCTGAATTCAGAGCTGGTCAGATTGTTGGAACATGGAAGCACAATGATATAAAAGCAGGGAGTTCTTGTTCTTCCGGCATCCAGCTCTCTGTGTTCTCAGCACACACATAGGCACACCTGGTACAACCTTCGGTGTGATGTTCAGTTGGAAGCACAAGAAGAGGCTTCTCTTGTCTGAACGGAGAGCTGTCACTTTGGAGAGCTGAACTGTGGCCGCCTGCCACTATGAGGCTCCAGGTATAACCAAAGTGTTCTGACCCATCCCTAGTCAGGCTTTGCTGAGTTCGTTGTTCAGGTAGGCACATCCTTCACATCTCCTCAAGAGCTTTGTGATCAAGCACTGGACATGTGTCGGGGGAGAATTCACTGGTGTCACAACAATTCAACGGAAAAATATGCTTATGAAAGTTTCTAAGAAAGTGTGTATTAAAATTCTGGTGTTGTTTAATCAACTTCTTAGTTCAGCTTCACAGATTTTTTTTTTAGAGGAATAAAGTGAATTTTCCTCCACAGTTTACTTATTATACATGAACAAGGCAAGGAAAGATATCAGAATTTTCCCCTTCAAAAATATACCTCTTCAACACATGGATTATATTATATAATATATATATATATATATTATAATTATAATTATATTATATTATAATAGTTGCTAAGAAGCTGCAGATGCAGCTTAAGATGCAGGATAAGCTCTAAACACAGGATTCGTGTTTTCCTTTTTCAAAGGAAATTTCCATTCAGAGACTGATTTGTGGTGGGTCTCAGCAGTCATGTGCTAAGTTCCTTTATGATGGTGCCAATGTGAGCTATGCGATGATCGTCTCGCTGATGATGAGTGTGTTGATGAATTTGTACTTTTGTTCCACAGTCTGCTAATGTAGCTAACATGGTACACTAATCATTTTTGGTTCCATATTAATCCACAATAGTTTGAAAGGAGGAAAAAGATCTGAGAGTAAGATCTTCTAACCACGGCCACTGCCAAACTACTTGTAATAATGTCAATGCTAGGAAAATAGTTCTGCGATTTTATTATTTAAGGAATAATGACAATAAAATATCTGTACACATTTTTAAAAAATATTTTTTTAATCTGAGGTCACTTGAACCCATAGATGCTGAACCCATGTACAGAGAGGTAACTAAAACAACACAAGTAGGGAGTGGTGAAATCAGGTCTCAAACCCAGCAGACTACACCACACTAAGTCCACATTTTCCACCATAGCTAACAATAAAAATGGTACAGAGTCCAGGACACAGTTACCCTAAGGTGCTGAAAAGCCTCAAGGTAGAAGAATTACTAGTTAGAGCTAGACAGTTTTTATGTCAACTTGGCACAGCCTAAAGTGATTTGAGAAGAACGAACCTCAATTAAGGAAATGCTCATAACAGATTGGCCTGTGAAGCATTTTGTTTTTGTTTTTTATCATGATGTGGGAGGGCCCAGTTCAAAGTGGGCGATGCCATCCTTGGGCAGGTGATCCTGGGTGCTATAAGAAGGCAGACTGAGTGAGCCATGAGGAGCAAGCCAGTAAGCAGCGTTCCTTCATGACCTCTGTATCAGCTCCTGCCTCCAGGTTTCTGCCTGCACTTTCTGCCCCTACGTCCCTGGATGATGGAGTAAACCTTTTCCTCTCTAAGCTGACTTGAGTCCTGGAGTTTGATCACAGCAGTGGGAGCCCTGACTAAGACACAAGGCAGCATCAGCTCATTACAGACAAGGTTTCCTAACATTTTCACTTCCCAGAGTTATGCAAGGAACATTTCCACCACTACAAGGAAAATAACAAACTCAAATGTCCCCAGTTCTACCTGAACCCTAAAGGACTGGGACTGTAGTGACCAGCTGTCAGTATCTCCCAAGGAGCACCCTGTTGTAGGCTGAATTATGCCCCCACATCCACCAATTCATATGTGGAACTCTTAACCTCTAATACCTCAGTGATAAGACTTTTAAGGAGGTAACTAAAATGAAAGGTCATGAATGGGCCCTAGTCCAATTGTGTCCACACATACAAAAGAAAAAAAAAAGCTTAAGGCACAATCAATTGTTGTGTAGCAATCTCCTGGGAGATGAAAACTCTGTCTTGGAGGAAAGCTCACTATAATTCAGGATGTTATAAAGGGAGGGGAAACTTCTACCCTGCAGGGAAGCTCTTAACTCAACAAGTAAACAATAGAGTCCTAGAAATTCCTGAAACTGAGTAGGTTTCAGCAAGCTCCTCCCTCCCGGCACTGATAAAGCACAGAGGACTTCTGAGACACAGGCACACCAGCCAGGCTGCCTGAAAGAAGCTCAGGCATACTGAACCACCTAGAAAAGATCCTCCCACAGGCTGAGCTTCCTGCCACTTGTGCAGTTTGCTCAGGCTTCCATCTTTCATGAATCGTCAATGCTGGGATGGGCTTTTGGTGATATTGGTGATTTTGCTCCTGTAAGTAACGCACTCCAGTAAAAACTCATTGGTTTATGCATATGGACTTCAGTAACATCACTACATTCTGGTCTGTCATTGAGTTCCTAGCTGGAGTGAATACATAGTTGTTCACATCTCCCCAAGGACAGTGTCACACATTACCAAGCAAAAAGAAAGTCTATGTAAAGTCAGAGATACAGCAGTCATACGTAAGCCTAGGAGAGGGCCCTCAGAAGAAACCAACCTTGCTGACATGTTATAAAATTTCAAACAGTCAAAAGATGTGAGAAAACAATTCTGCTGTTTAAGCCCCATGATATTTCCCATGTCAGTCCCTGTAAACTAATGGATTTTCCCCCACCCCCAGATCAGGGTATAGTTCTCATAATTTGGGTTCTCCACTCAGTCCACCATCTTGCCATCACCCTGATCTGTGATTAAAATCAGCCTGACCTCTAACTATTTCTGCCAAGTCCCTTCAGTTGGCTTCAAATTACCATGGCTCAGAGGCAATATCAAGCCCAATGACCGCATTGCCCTTAGGTCTATGACAATCTGTGATCGACTCAGATGAAGTTCAGTCATGGG